CCTCTGCAGCCAGGCAGAGCCAAGTGCAAGGGAGGGCTGTGCAGAGCAGGAGCCAAGCTTCTCTCTCACAGAGGCTCAGGATGGAGGGCCTGGGGGCTCAGGCTTGGAGGGGAGTGGTGGGGGTAGAAGTAGATAATCCAAATACAGTCCAAAGCTGTTGAACAGGCACAAAGGGAAAGTGGAGAGAACAGCAGGTGCCCAGTGGGCAGCAGTGGGGCTGCCATTTCAGGGTCCAGAACCTCTTCCTCGACATGCAGCCATCTACAGCTTGTGGATCCACTGGCAGGGCTGTGGGGCTGCTGAGTTCACTCATCATCCCTCTTCTGCCTCAGTCTCCTGGCCCATTGCAGCTCCTGGAAAAGAAGGGAAGGCATCCTCACTCTGCTTACCCTCCACATCCCAGAGGAACTTCCTTCTAGACTGCTCCTGGCCCTGCACAGGGGAGGAAGCAGAAGCAGCAGAGGGGCCTCTGTCCCAGCCAGAGTGGCCAGGTGGAATAGGATAAAAGTTGATCCTCAGTTCTTTGGGACAGGGCTCATGTTAGGCTCTTGTTTTTCTGAAGCCTCTCAAGTGCTTTACTCCTTTTCTGGCCATCCTGATGCCTTACATGGGAATCTATAATGGGAGTCTTCCCCCTCATCTAGATGAGCAGAAGGAGGCACCAGGCTGATCCCTTGGGAAAATGGAGGGCCCCCCTCCTTTCAAATTCTTCAAGGATTTCTTCTTAAGGACATCCAGCACCTACAATGTGCTTAGGATGCTCCTGTGAGAGCCTGGGTTTTTTTCCCAAGGCCACTTAAGCAGCAGAAAGGGCTCCAGCTTCTCCTGTCTCCCTGCAGCTAACATGCAAAGGCTTCAACCTCCACTGACTGGAATTCTCCTTCTGTCATCCTCTGTCTTCCTCAGGGTCAAGGCAGCGAGAGGCAGCAGCCCTTTGCACCAAGCCCGCGTTGTTTCTCTGTTATATAACAATATGGGCATTTAGACTTGTTTTTCCAGATATTGGCAGATGCGTCAAATATTGGCATAATCCAGTGGTTTACATGGAAAGCCGTCTGGCTCTGTCTGGAGCCTGCACAATGCTGGTATTTTCTTTGAACATAAGAGTCTGCAGCGTTGTCAAAGCAGTGTTGCAACAGAGTCCAGGTAAACAAGGGGAAAAGACCCTCCTATTAGGACCTGACCAGTAGAATTATAGCTGCCCAGGTGCAACTCCAGGACTTGATAAGAGAGATAATGGATCTGCAGTTGCTTTCTCTCTGATGTGGTCTTTTAGCTAAGTCTTCTGTGGTGCTTTTCAGAGAATCACAAAATCATTTAGGTTGGAAAAGACCTTCAAGATCATTGAGTTCAGCCTTTAACTGATCATTTACAACCGATCTGATTGTCAGCCACACCATATTCCTCAGTGCCATGTCCAGTTGTTTCTTGAACACCTGCAGGGACAGTGACTCCATCACCTCCCTGGGCTCCGGAGTTTTATTTCTGATGCCCCCATCAGTGCATCAGACCTGCCAGTGTGTGCTCTGTGGTTTAAGAACCCATCATGGTCCACTGGGGCTGTTGGAAGTTGATAGAGGCCAGGGACGGTGATGAGGTTAGATTTTAAAAATAAAAGGGTAAGGAAGGTATTGAACATTTTGGGATGGGGAGAGAGCTGGGGAAGTTGTTCAGTTTGGTCTCTAAAGGAAAGCAACGTGCTCATGTGCCGGACAGTTTACAGGCTTGGTAGCTCTTCCCTATCCCAGCTATACCAGGCCAGGCAGCTCCTGGGTAGCTCTACCAGTGTCATTCCCAGCTTTGAGAGGTGTCTGCAGGGCCTGGCAGTCCCTGGCTGCTGCAGCCTGTGCAGGGAGGCTGGCCTGCTGCTCTATGGCAGTGGAAAGGCCTGCACATTGCCCTCAGTTAGGCTGGGGTTAGAGGCGTGAATGCACTCATGCACTGCGATGGTGTTACAAGTCAACGTGGCTCAACTCTGAGTGCACAACGGGGAAAATCCAACAGCAGCACAGAAGTAATTGCTTTGGTCAGACCTCTTACAGAGGTTTGCCTCTGCTCAGCCAGCACCACCTGCCCCTGCAGTGTGCTTGCAGCCCAAGCCACGCCATCGTGAGTTTATCAGCTCACACCACACCCAGTGTCTTGGGCAGGTGTCCCCTCCTGATGCCTGGTGTGCTGGCAGAGGCCATCACCACTGCTGCAGGCACAGCCTTTGGCAACTGGCCAGCAGAGCCACTGGCAGGAGTGGCTTCTCTGAAAACCATCTGTGTGAGCCTGGGCTCTGCAGAAGGGTCCAGGACTGGAGGAATGTCCTCTTTGGGGCCACAAGTGCTGGGGAAGTAACACTGCCAGCTTTTTCAGTGTCCTCATGAAAGACCCTCTGACTGCTTTGTCCTCTCCCTGCCCTTGTCAGGGCCTTGTCAGAGCGCAGTAACTGTCTTCAATCCACCGTGGTCCTGGGGCACAATGGGAAATGTTTCAAGTGTCCAGGGTTTTTTTACGTGGCTGGACCTTGGCATATAACTTTCATCTGCTTAACATGGTTGATCTCGTTAGGTCTGCACATAGCCCCAGCCTTTGACGTGGCAGATCAGTGCCATGCTTTTAATCGCTGTCTCAGCAATCCAGCCAGTGCTTGCTCCTGCCCGAAGCTGATCACTGGTTCCAGGAATTGCAGTTCCTGGTGCAGCACCTTCCTCATTCCTGGTAAAACCTTCCGTGCTGAGACTGCCCAAAGCTGAGGCTGTAGATGTGTTGTCCATTTCTCTCTGAATTCAGGAGTGGACTGTGATACCTTTGCCATTGGTTAGATTTTGATTGCCCAAGCTTTTAGTTTTCTGTTACACAAATAATTCGCTTTTCACCATGGGCTGGGAGCTGCCCTTGCCCAGCAGGGCAGGGGGTGTCTGTGGTCCCTACCTGTAGCAGGTGCTGTGTAGCAGCCCATTCTTAGGTGGAGCCCCCAGATCTGTGCACACATTTTGAGTTCTACTTGAGCTGTGTTTTTGACTTGGGGCTGATCCATAGGTGGAGTGTGTGGCTGGAGCTCATACTTGTGCTGTGAAGAGACGCGTGCTGCTCTGTGCTGCAGCTTGGTGGCTGTGCTCTGACAGATCTGACTGGCCTCTGTTCAGGAAGTCTTTGTCATATCCAAAATGGGTTCAAAACCCAGAATGTCTTTGACCACAAGATCCTGCTCCTCTTCCTTTCTCTAGTTGCAAGAAGTCTGTCCAGTTTCCCAGGGGGTGACATGAACTATAGTGCCAGTGTGAACCAGCAATGCTTTTTCATTGCTTGCCCTATGGGTCATCATAGGACATGGGGCAAACACCTGTAGTGGGTGCACACAACTCCTCATGAAGCTCTACCTTGAAAATCAGCTTCCAGGTAGAAAAACTCCCCGTATCATTCATACGGGTTTAATGACAGTGGGATTTTGCCCTAGAGCAGGCTGAGAAGTAAAAGATGAGATTGATGTGATTACTGTTTTTTCAGTTTGATTTTTTGGATTATGATTTCCTTTTCCCCACCCCTGCATTTGTTAATGTTTAATGGAAAACACATGTTCTTCAAGGCCCTTGCTGGTCATATGCAGTCCTGGGACTGTTATTGAGACAGAATGATGGACCCTTCCTAAAGAGATTTATAGTAGAAACCGTGAGGAGCTCACTGCTACAGCATGGCCAGTGAACACTCCCCTGCACTGACAGTTCATCAGTAAAACCCCTGACCCTTCCACCCTTAATCATCCTTGCTTGTCACTGACATAATTGCCTGATTACAGACTCCTCTCCCCCACCCCTTTCAAACTGGGCGCAATAGTGCATTTGAAAAACAAATGGAAATGAACTGTCCCTGCTCTTTTTCTTCTTTCTTTTTTATTTTCCTTCCCCTGCATTGAGATGGATCAGGCTAAGATTTGGTTTCTTTGTGCATGAGCAGGCGCTGGGATAGGCTTTCAGGACTCTTTTGCGCTGGTGTTTCTTGCATGTGAATGGTGAAGCTGATGTCATTGTGTTATTGATTGGGATGACAACTTTGGACATAAATCATTAATGTCTGGGAAAGAGAGAGGGAGGGGAAAAAGGCAACACACACTTGATAGTTTTCCGTAAATCTGCTGTTCGTTCCTGCATACGTGATACAGAAGAGGAGACAGCAGAAACAGTTTTGCTGTGTAGCCCACGGATGATGTGTTTTGCCACTGCTTCCTGAACCATTTTCCCCAGAATGTGTTGCCATATTCTTCAGGAAATGGCTCATGTCACCAGCGACACTGTCATGCTGGAACTTGTCTTTGCAGATGTGAGTCAAGGTCAGAAGACTGCCCAGGGGAAGGTTTTTGGGTTCTCTCGTTCCCACCAACCTTGCACCCCCCCACCCAGCTGCATTTCAGTTCTGGGCCCAGGAGGGAGTAAGAGTGCAGTTCTTGGGAAGTTCCATCTCTCTAGTTCCTTTAAATGCCAACAGGGATTGTTTCAGTGTTTTGAGCTGACCATTTTTCTCACCGATGATCTTAATTTTATGCAAAAAAACCCAGTGTTTAAGTGAGTTTAGATCAGTGTTGAAATCAGCATACATCCCCAAGCCAGAAATGAACAAGTGTGCAGGGGGTAGCAGTCATTCAAAACCACTTTCACAAAAGTCCTTCTCAGCAAAACTGACAGCAGATAGCTCAGAGAGAGGAAACCCATGAGGTACTTGCATCAGTTGCCTGTGTGCCTTTGCCCCTGCACAAAGTTCATCCAGATGAGTCAGGTTATCAGTCCAGACAGCAAGAAAATAAACAGTGTCTGTCAGAGGTTAGCAATAAGGCAAGTATTGATGAGCAGCTGGTGTTTGAAGTGTAAATAGTTTAGTGGCAGTCTGTCCTGGTACCTGTGGGGAATCTTGTGATGTGTGGAAAACATGAAAACTGCCTTTGCAGTGGGGCAGTGGAGAAGGAGATGGCATTCCCCTGCTGGAAGCATGGCTCTGATTCTGCTCTTGTCCCCTTGCAGCCGAGCTCACCTCCGCCTGTGTCTAGAACGCTTGAAAGTTCTGATACCACTCGGACCAGACTGCACCAGGCACACCACGCTTGGGCTGCTCAACAAAGCCAAAGCACATATCAAGGTAAGAGCTGCTTTTCCCAGCTGCTTTCAGCGTGGGCTCTTGGGAAGTGCAATTCAATCGCTCACCCTTGGTGCCTCTATTGAAGGAGATTAACACCTTTTAAAAATAAATTAAAAAAAAAAAAAAAAGGAGCAAGTAAGCCTTGCCCTCTTGGTTAATCACTTGTCATTGCTACAGTCCCACATTGTTGGAAGAGTCCATAATGAACTCTGTTAGCTGTGGAAGTGATGGATTTGAAGAGCAGGGGTGTTGTTCTGTATTGTGATCGTTTGTTGACAGCTGCATCTCTTTAAAGAGGAACATACCTACTGTTAAATGACTGCATTTTACACGGGAAATGGAGCTTTTTTTCTGGTGTGCTACTGAGTTTCCACTGCCGAAGCATTAGCACAAACCACAAGCGTGTGAGACAGGGTTGGCTTGCTGGAGCTTCTTGTGTGAACCTGCCAGCCAGCCCAGCGCTCTTCTGGCTTCACTTTTGGCAAAGTGAAACGTGAAAAGAAAATGCAGCATTGTCAGTATCTGGGAGAGGCTGAAATACTTGGTTGCAGGTCAGGATATTGGGAGGGAAGATGGGTGATGAAGGAGAAAAAGCGCTGCCAAATGGACAGAGTTAGCCTGAAATGACTCCTTATGCAATGTGCTTGTCGTAGGAAACAAAGAACAGTGCTCTGGTAGATTTCCCAGCTGTGATCAAAGAAATCTGTAGTAGGTTATGTAAATCACTTACTGAATAGAAAACTGTCTCTGAGAAATCCTACTAAACCATGCAGTAAGGAACACAGAGCTCCCAGGGCACGTTTTTATGTTGGAGCCGATCATAACAAACCCTGGAGTGGTTTGTTTCAGGGAGTTGAGGCCCCTTCGTGGGCAGATGTGGTAATGCAGGTGTCTGATCCTGTGTGGAATGACGCACAAACTGCTGCAATTCACATCGTTCCCCCTGGAGGGGCTCAGTCCTCCGAGACTCTTTGTATTAATGGGTATGATTTATCAGCACTTGAGAGGTGGGAAGATGTGGGGAGATGGCATTGTGCTTGGAGACTGCGAGGCAGTTTGGTTCAGGGGTCTTGCAGCTTAAATCCTTCTGGGACCTGGGAAGGTCTAAGCAAGGCAGGTGGGAGGGAGGGAGAAAAGGATGAAACTAATTATTCAGTCATATTTGATCACATCAGAAACTTGAAGAGGCTGAGAGGAGAAGCCAACACCAGCTTGAGAACCTGGAACGAGAACAAAGATTCCTAAAGAGAAGACTGGAACAACTACAGGGTCCTCAGGAGATAGAGCGAATACGAATGGACAGCATTGGATCTACCATTTCCTCGGATCACTCGGACTCGGAGCGAGGTGGGTGTTGGCTGAACTAGCATGGAATCCCCAGGACTCCATGGAGTGAGAGCATGAGAGTCATCCATTTCTTGTCTCTCAGCTACTCTCTTCTTAGGGTGTTTGATGTTTAGGTTGCTCACACACATGCACACACACACACACACACACACGTGTATATGGAGAGTTTAGTATTTTACATGAGTTCTAAGTCTGGAGGAATTGTTGCTGTCAACTTGAGCTGATTTCTGTGGCATTGAAAGTGATGGTTAAGTTGAAACACCTATTTTGCTTTTTGGTCTACTGAATCTCTTGGCAACGCAAAGAGGAAGATGTAAGAAGATATTAATGGCACCGGAATGGATGCTTTACACACCTTCCCCCTTACCTTTTTTCCCCCAAGCTTCTCATAGAGTTCATCTCCTCAGATAAAACTGGCTGGAGATGATCTGAATGGCTAACTGAATTGAGATAACTTTCTTTTTTAAAAATATCTCTTCTGTGGAGAGAACATTAGGCACAGTAGATGGTTTGATATTTACTGACAGACCCAAAGATGCTGTGTAGTTTGGGTGTGAGTCTGTAGTTTAAAAAGAAATGCTTTGGAAAATTCCAAAACAATATGGAAACAAAGATACCTGGTTAACTAGATCTTTGGAACAGACACCTTGTTTCTAAGAAAGACTTGAAAAGAAAAATCCACTCAGCATCTATGAGAGTAACCCAGATTCCCACGGTAATGCATTGCAATACCCTGTAGGAGTGGTCCTGGCTTTGGCAATATAATGTCAAACAAGTAGCATGTTTGAGGGTAACTTCATGCTCCATTTTCCCTGTTGCCCTTGATTTTATCTGTTTCTTCTTGTTTTCAACACTGGGGTTGTAGAGGTACAAAGAAAGAAGTAGTGGAGCAAGTTCAGTGTGGGGGGTGGCTCACCTACACTCATAGTGTGGCCTGTACGTGGAGGAGTCAAACCCCTTTGCCAAATCCCTGTGAAAAACTCCAGTCTGGTATCTAACCTTCTTATAAGTCATGTCCACAGCCTGTCCCATTCTAGGGAGAACACTGAAAGTCTTTTTGCCAGTTGGCTGCTTCATTCCCTGTGCTGGGGGAGTCCCAGCAGCTTTTTGGCTTGAAGGGAGCAGTGGGGTGTGCGGTGCTCACCTGTGTGCATTTCTCTCGTTTTCCTTTCCAGAAGAGATTGAAGTGGACGTTGAAAGCACAGAGTTCTCCCATGGAGAAGTGGACAATATCAGCACAACCAGCATCAGTGACATTGATGATCACAGCAGCTTGCAGAGTATTGGGAGTGACGAGGGTTACTCCAGCGCCAGTGTCAAGCTCTCGTTTGCTTCCTAGAACCAAGTGAGACAACAGTGCAGGGCAAATGATTTCACTGGGGTGATCTAACTGAGTCCGAGATGCCAGTATCCTCTTTCAGAAACGACATATTGACAGCTAGTCCTGGAGAGACCTGTATATAAAGCTTTTTGGGTAAAGGAAGCCTCCCCAGAAACCCATATTTGTTCATTTGGTCATGTTACAAATCCCAATTTCTGCTGGCAAAAAGTTAGACCAAACACTAGTCACTTTGAAGTCAATGAAATCCGTTTGTTTCTGTGGGACCTGGATTTAGACCTTAGTGATGAAACACTTTGCTTTGAATTTATTTGTTTGAAAGAGGATACTAGAGACTCATTCCTCTCTTTCTGTCATGAGATCTGAGAAATGTCAAAATTTCTTACATTGCATTCAGGTTGAACAACCTAATTTAGGCCCTTTTGAAGAGCTTTGTGGTCCTAAAAGGACCGTATCCTGCAGTTTATCACAATCTAATGTACTAGGAAATCTAAGAAGGCTTAGCCTAGGAATAACAGTGACAATAATGATTAAGGTCTCATTCTGTGCCCAGAGGGAGAGGGGCGGCAAAGAGAGATGTTCAGGGGAGAACACCATTCAACTCAGCTTTCTGTTGGACATCATTTAAAAAGTGAGCACCTCTGATGCGTGGCTAGAGCAGGAGGTGCACACTTGTAATCTACCAGCACATGGTGGGCTGTCGTGCCTCGGGCTGTGGCACCGACAGTGGGTCTCCCGGTAGATGTGTGTTCGTACACAGCCAGCTGAGGGCAGAGCGAAACCAGCACACACGAGAGGTGACACACCAGAGAGTCATGCCCAGATACTGAGCCACTATGACCTTTTTATTTGAAGCGATTTTTTGATAAACATTTGTAAATGTGTTGGGAGGGAAAACACCCCAAGTCTGATGCGTCTTTTTAGAGCTTGTCCATATGAAACCTTAGATGTCTTTTATATGAATTTATGCCATGAAAAGATCTCTGTTTTGATGAAGCACTTGACCCAATGAAATGCAAAGATGCTTTTTTTGCCATGCACACAATGGATGAAGGCTGTGCTAGCTGGAAGAGGCCAGATTTGGTGGGGGTTTCTTCAGTTTTCTTTTTAGAATCATTCCCTTTGCTGACTTTTGAAGTTCCAGTCCAGTAGTTAACCTAGTTAAGCTCAGCACGTCTCTCATGTTAATGTAACGTTTTGACTGCACGTCCTGTTCCCAAGGGCCTTGCCATCCTATCTGTGCAGGTGCTGTTAAGAGCTGTTATAGCGAATGTTTTCTAATTTTCTCCGAGACAAGCATTCTAACCTGCACTTTGAGGGCTTTGCTTTTTTATTTTTTGTCTTTTTAATGGCCAGGATTATTTTCTTTTCCAAGTTTTAAAAACCTTAATAGAGTCATTGTTTGAAACTTTGTATATCCTTAAGTAATTTAACTACCCCTCATTACTAAGAAGAAAAAAGAGGAAAAAAATGCTTTATAAAATTCATAACTTATTGCTGATTTGAATGGGTTGTTAATTTCAGTCCTTTAGATTTTATTTTATTGTTTTAGGTAGGGTTGGGCAAAAAGAAGTAAAATAAAAAATAAAGACAACCATATTTAGCAGTGCAGTGGAATTGTGTTTAAATGTTAGCATATGGTCCCCATTAAAGTAGCACTTTAACGCCATTAAACATTTCTGTATCTGAAATGAGTTGTGTTCTTCCATCTTGGTCATTCGTATCCCTTTAGCCGAGTGTTTGTTCTTCCTGTGCCCTTCGATCCTGCGGTGAGAAGATCCTGAGTGAGTCTGCTGTAGACTTTTGCACTGTGATAAGTTGCCTGTATTTAAATATTCTGATGTTTCCCCCACTCTCCTCCAAAATTTGTCATCCCCTGTAAGAGGTACAACACACGTGCTTGAGTAGAGAAATAACCTTTCCATGAATGTAGTGAATGATTTCTGTTCTGTTTAGGGTTTTTTTAAATTAATTTGCTTACAAAGTCTGTGTCAGGTTGCAGTTGTTAAATGTGTTTTCACTTGTGTGTAGGTAATCCAGTGGCTCGGTCCATCTGTCCTTCTTCTGGGAGATTACCTGGCAGGAGCAGGAGTCTGCCACAGAGAGAATTGGGCTCTAGGTTAACAAAGGGAGCGTGAGGGCTTTCAAAGAAGAAATGCTGCTTGGATTTGTGTTTGGGGTCCATATAGTCTCTGGATGACACAAGGTTTGGGACAGCCTGAAGAGTGATGAAAAGTGGGAAACTTTAGCTCTAGCAAGGCTTTATTGATTTATGCATTATTCTTCTCCTTGGTAGTGTTGCCCACTGGCAGCCCTGGTGCTGAGCAGTTGAATACCAGTGGGATTTATTTATTGACGAACCTTTTTCTGTAGCTGTCCCAGCACCTCCTCCTTTCTGTTACTCCTGTTTGTTTTAAATGCCCATTTGGGAAAGAAATATCACAGCTGAGAAATACTGAAGTTCAAGGGGTGGAGAATGGCCACGTTCTCCTTGTTGGTATAAAACAGTGACGTGTCTGTGGTTGGAATAAATGTGTTTGAAGTGTTTGCTTGAATGCTCCAGGGCCAGTTTGGTATCTCCTATCTTTTCTAGTGTTGTGGGCTCAAAGGGTCCTTGTTAGCAAGTGCAAATACAGTGGGGAGAATGTCACAAGAGATGGACTTCCATCACCAACCAGTGGCAGCGGCTTAAAAATACTCCAGAGTCATCCCTGATGTGGCAAGTCAGAGTAGTCCTGTGTGCCAGATCTGCTTTAAGATCCCATCACTTTTCAAAGTGCCATCAGAGTTTCTACCACTCACCCTGAAATCTTGGAAAACGGAGTGAGTATGATCCAAACCAAGTCTGTCTTACCCTTTGGAAGTGAGATGGTCTCTCACATTACTGACCTTGTGAGAGGGATTCAGTAGAGCAAGTCTTTCCCCAGAAAAGGCCTCTCAGCAGCTTACTGTGTGCTTTGTCCAAACTCTGTCCTTGAGTTTTTTTCATTCACCCCAAAAGACACACTGAAAGGTTGTTACTGTTTGGGTTCCCAGCTCTAGTACTGTTTAATGCAGAGCTCTGTGGGATTTGGGCTGCTTCTGAGGCCTCGTTTGACTCTTTTGCAAAGTAAGAAGGCAAACCCTTCACTTTCAGTGTTCTCTGTGGCCCTAGGTTCTGCCCACCACGTTAACTCTAGTTTCATCCAGAATAACACTTATTCACCACATCATATTTGGGCATGGAATCACATTTTCCTTTTATCTTTGCAAAATTCTGTGAGGGCCTTTTATGGTTTGCTTTGTGCTTGCTGTTGTTTCTCTCATTTAGTTTTGTGTTTGTACGATAACAGAAACCCTAAATCTATTCTTTAATTTTGCAATAACATGGGGGCTTTTCCTGTAAAAACCAGAACTGGATGCCCTTTCCTGAGGCAGCTTCCCCACACACCAGGCACACATGCAGGTGCACGCACGGCTCCCTCTCAAGCTCATTCTGTCAAGTCTTCCCTCTGTAAATTAGATCCCCGGTGGGTCCCTTTGCTACAGACAAACCCATTAAAAAGACCATCCAGCATTTTCCTTCTTTTGACACGAGTGTATTACGGAATGTCATCTCGTGTCTGCAGACAAGGTGGAGATGACTATCTGGCTGCATTTGTCACGGTTATCCTGTGGTGAGTTGTCACTTGAAGGTCATTTTAATGTCCATTCCATTAGTGGCATGTCAGTGACGAAGGTGGTCTCAGATCTGGCTGTCTCAAGAAATCTGTAGGTCAATAGAAAGGGGGTTAACTACACAGACTTATCATTTCCCAGGTTTTATGATTGTGTTTTCCTTTTGTCCGCTTGTTTGCTACCATCTGGTTTTGGCCTGTGAGCTCCAGCCTCCTGCTTTCCTGCTCTTTGTTCTCTTGTACTTGCTGTTCCCTGTTCGTTGTCTGTGTTGCCCTGTTGAAACGGATGAAACATTTGGCTTCAGTGGAATTGGGATCCGTTCTATGTACTAAATGGAGATAGTAGTTCTTTTTTTTCCCCCTGGGTTCGTAAGCTTTTCTTGTGGCATATTTTCTGACACCAACCATGCATCATTGGAAAGAGAAATTGGGGTGAATGTTAAAAACCAGGACTTCATTCTGAGGTTAGGGAGGTGATAATAATGAAAAAGCCTGCAATAGCGGAATAAAGTCTGATTTTTTTTTTTTTTTTGCTGAGACTTTGTCCCTTGGACAGATTCTCTGGTGAATGATAAATTCTGTGACCTGATAAGTGACTGAAACTCCCCTGCATCAGCAATGCAATCTCTGAATTGTCCTGTGGGACCCTCAGGGAAGAGGAACATGTCCTTCTACCTCTTTGTTCATTCAGTTGGGGATAATACATCAGCACTGGGCCCTGCTTCTCTGCTCGTTTCCTCCTGCAAACAGGACTAATCCCTTTAGTGGCTGGAGGAAGGAATAGGAGTCTATGTGTGTTGGTATTATGGCTGTGCTACTAAATGTGTAGTATGGAGGGGTTCTTTTTTGGGTTGTTGCTACAACTGAAGTTGTTGCGCAAGGAGAGATGACTATATTGAGGTCCCTTCAAAAATGGCATGGATTGGGAATTGCTGAGCAGCACAGGGGGGATGGATGTGTGTGCTCATAGGGAGTAGAATCACACTGTGCCACTGGTGCAGATCAAAGGTGTGAAATGCCATATCCTTTTAGAAAGATCTTTGACATTAACCATGTTGTAAGAGCTGTGGGTAACAATTTTTTTTTACCACACTGGAAAAAACCCAGCCTCTTAGTCTGTAGTATGCCAATGAGGCCCAGAGCAAGCTGGTGGGGTGAGCTGGGTAGTTTGGCCTGTAACAGGTCGGTCATTCATCATCTTGGCTTGCAGTGTGCTGTGCTGCAGACATGTGATGAAGCTTTATTTTAATACAGCAAGGATACAGCTTCAGCAAGGATTAATTTTGATCTTGAGGGAGGTTGCATCAAAGTAAAATAAGCCATGAAGGAATTTAAAGCATTTTATGGTGGTTTTAACGTGGTGGTTGCTGGTCAGAATGTCTTGGACTACCAATACACTAGCTAGTGCTCAGTTCAGCTAAGGGAAGGAAATTATTTCCATTTAATCCCCTTTCAAAAACACATCTCAATTAATTGATTTGGATCTTCCAGAAGGCTTAATGGGGAAATACAGGAGGTCTTTCCTATTCCAAAGTGGTGGACAACTGTACCAAATAGCATCCAAGGCCCAGGAAATACCAGGTTCAGCAGGTCATTCTGACAGGTAAGGTGTAAAATGTAGCATTGCTCACATTCCTCATGGAGTGTCTCTTGGGGAAGGATCACCTTTCAGTCTAGGTGAGAGCAAGACATTTTTAGTCAGCATCCACTGTGGGAGTCACTGCAAGGTGAGTTCGGTGTAGAAAGGTAACGGCATTCCAAAAGGAAACAGTGTGAGTGCTTTTGTGTAGTAGAGCCTTCAGCCCAAGACCAGAGCTTTGCAGGTTGTGGCATGGATGTTCATCATCACCCCAATGTAAATGTGCCTCCTTATTCTGCCATCTAAGTGAAGCTTTTCAGGGCACGTGTAAAGATTAGACAAATTGCAACGCAAAGAGCAGCACCAGCTGCCAGGCAGTGATCCTTCTCCTGGGCCAGGCCCAGGAACACCTTCTATAACCTCAGACGTCGTTGCAATGCAGTGGTTGTGGTGGTGATTTCCCTAGACCCTGCCCCAGAGCTGATGCAGGTGAGTGGAACATCGGGGAAGCACAGAAGTTTTTATCGGGTTTGCCTTGTGAACATCTCCAGTACTGAATTGCAGTCTTCTCAGTTAAAGTGCTCTTCTGAATTTACAAACCTCTGAGACCAAACATCCACATAAATAAGTGACACAACACTCACTGGCATCGGGGGAGGCAGAAGAGAAGTGGATTGCCATGACCATGAGAATGTCAAGTTGCTACTCTTAAGACTTGTAAATACCAAAACTGACTGGAGCCCTCCCAGATTAGTGAATCAGGTTTATACTGGTTTAATTTCCTGGTCTCAGTTTGGACAGGATTGAGGGAATATTAGATAAACCATTTCCTGTAGGAACTTAAAGAGGAAATGTGGAGCCGGGGCTGTCATTTTGCACAGTACCCTTATCTGAAAGGCACAGTCAGTGTTCTCTGACAAGTATCTTTTCCATGTCGGTAGCTTCGGGGTTTTGCACTTTTACACTCGCTTTCCCTCTGTCATTTCAGTGTTTCCAGGAACTGTCTGCTTGTAGTAGGATTTGCTGGCACTGGGGTAGGTACTTCACGTGCAGAGGCCCAGAAGTCAACAAAGAGCATGCTTTCTGAAAAGTAAGGCTTCTTACTGAGTAGACCAGTTAACAGAACTGGGAAATACATTGTAAAAAAACCCCAACCAACCAAAACACCAGAAGCCAGACAATTCTGGGACACTTCAGCATTTGTAATATAAGGAACTCTGTGTTTCGGCAATTACCAGCATTGCTTAATTCAATTTTTTTTTCACAAGAATTTCTCAAGCCACTTTACTGTGTTCCAAAGCCAGACTTCACACAAACTGGCTCCATCCTTCAGATGAGGCAAGAGCATCAAAAAAAACCCTAAAGTGGTATAAGGAACAGCTGTGTGACCAGTGCAGCAGTTTTGGTGGGGCTTCTTTTTGGTGCAAGTTATTTTCAAGCTGTTTTCTCTTCATAG